TAGCTCTTCGCATCTGTAAGTTGAAGTGGCAGTGAGCTGGTCATATCTATTGTAGAACCGATGCTCGCTGGAGGCGTGTTCTAGAGTGGAGACCGCGAATTGGCAAACGTAGTGTAGTACGCCCCGCAGCTAGGTGGAGCGACGACATACGTAGGGTTGCGGGTAGTAACTGGATGAGAAGGGCTGAAGATCGTGCCCAGTGACGTGCCTTGGGAGAGGCCTATGTCCAGCAGTGGACTGCAGTGGGCTGATGATGATGAAGATGAAGTCTATCAGTTGTCTAATGCTCATATTATAAATTTTTATTTATTTTATTCAGATTACTAATACATAAATGTAACAAGAAGGGCATATCAAGGTTTCTTAAGGGTCGGCAACGCGTACGTGATACCCCTGGTGTTTCAGGCGTTCATAGGCTACGGTAACCATTTACCATCAGATGAGCCGTATGCTTGATTGCCACCATCGTAGTACAAAAAAAAAACGTAAACCTACATACATATATTTTTACATACTACATATTTTTTTATTTATATTTTTATATTATGTGTCATTAAAAAATACATACCACCCTAAATTTTCACCCTTCTATCACCAACGCCTATTTTTTTATAGCGTTATTAATTTATATGGCAAAACAAGGTTTGCCAGCTAGTAAAATATAAAATAACTTGACAAATATTTCTTTTGACAATATTGTATGGCATTAAAATTTATCAGGATATATTATGAATTAAAGTAAAATTTCCCTAATGTTATAATAAAATTGAATAGCATGTTTATTCACAAACAATAAGGTTAAATTTCTGTTGTCTTCCACTTTAACTGCTGAACATCCGGACATTAGGGTTGTTTCATTATCCGGAACATAACGGCCACCCTGTATAATAACGTGGTCGAACTAAGTTAATGCCGGCCAATGTCGGAAGGTGCTAGATTGTGGAAACACACGGGATACTATCCTACTATTGTTTATTCATAAATTCTTTATTCACATTTAGACATACTTTTGAATATTTACATTGATTGCCTTTTCACATAGCCTGCTTAATTGAGACATGTAATTGAAATGGCAAATAAGCTGACAATCCACCTGGTGGTAAACGGTAACTGTCGCTGTACATGAACCGCAATACCATGCATGTTTTCCCATTACTGAAGATAAAAATCGCACCTCTTATCCTGTAATTTCACTGTCTTATCTCACTCTACAACTGAAACAGCTTATAGACGTCTAAATGTAAAGTGTACCTACAACGTTTTTTTACAAGAGGATGGACATAGATAGATAAATTCTTTATTCACAATTACAAACACATAGCCTGCATGAGGCAGAGATGAAATACATGTAAATGTAAATTGGACACTATTCTCCGTACAAGGCTTGCATCCGTCCCATCATGACACGCCAGTCTCGTATTCGCCCACATACCCTACTATTTAATTAACCGACTACAGATCGTACAGAATAGGTTTCTGGGTCGAGCCACCGGTGCGCCGTGGTTCGTTCGTAGCGTAGATCTCCACCGCGATCTTAATCTGCCCTCCATCAAGCAGTTTATAAAGAAAGCGTCTCGACGCTACTTCGACTCTGCCCAATCCCACCCTAACCCGACACCTAATAATATATATTAATAAACTAATAGTCACCGAGGAGTAATATATATAACTAGATGGCGCTATGTGAGTTATCAGACGCTACTTCGACTCTGCCCAATCCCACCCTAACCCGCTTATGACTATAACCGTACCGACTAGTGCGGTCGACTATGCACCCAGGAGTAATATCCGACATTCGCGGCAACGTCGCCCGAGGCACGTTCTCATTGACCCCGACGACCCCATAACGGCAGTTAACCTCCTCACGGGTCCACCCGTTCCACCCCGACCACACTTTTACACACACACACGACACCGTCCTCGCCGATGAAGACGACGACCTCAAACGCACCATATCGCGCATTCAAACGGGCGCCTGCGCGCGCCCAGGCGCTCCACACCGGCGCCCCCGGTCGCCCCTCCGATCGATCCCCCGTCCAATTTAAACGATGATCGATATTACGACGGCCTGAGCCGAGGCTCGAACCCCTAGCGAAAACTATTCTCCGTATTTAGCTTCTCATCTGGGCCATTGTGCGTGTAGAGCCGGGACTACTAGCAGCCAGCCAAGCTCCTTCCTGAAACGAAGAAGTCTCCTGGTGTCTTTACAGACTCCAGAGCGCCCTCGCCGTTCCGAGAATTTGTGTATGTTGTGTATTACGAAGCGACCATTTCTTCAGACAACAAAAGCGACTATCTGTAGCACCTATTGTGTATTAGTGATTGTTTAAAGGACTGTGGCGTGCTATTGTCCCTAACATTATTTTAAGGAAAAAATACATGTACAAATAAAAAAAACTACGGTCGCTCTATGTACCGCAAAAGTGAATAGGCAACCGACTCAGCAGGGAGGGAAAGGTGATTGTTAGTAATGTGGACTGATGATCTTATTGCTAGCAATGTACTATGTCAGATTGACCTCCACGCGGTTCTTGGTGAATTTATCACGACGGGCTGACTGACCTCACCTCATACTCATCTTATCATCCTCCATCGATTCCTCGCCAGCGTAAACCGTTAACGCATTATCATCTATAAAAAAAAAAAAATTAACCAACTTAGCATAAAGCTACAGATACATTTGCAGCGCTGATATTCTGTTGGCTCTTGTACTTAGATCATAGACTCTATTATCTACAAGATAAAATATATAATCTCGCGGGTAACAACTAGTTTGTTACATCGCTGCTTCCACACCGTATATCTGTATGTTTCACATTTTAACACTGACTACTGCGGGCAGGTAGACTAACAGGCTTGGGGGACCGACAATGGACTCGGGCCGTACGTGCGGTACGCTTTAATTACGCACTTAACGAGGGCCTAATGCTGCCTCGTTATGGCCGAAGTGCTCTGTATTGTGCTAGTTTTGAGTTACTGAAACTTCCAATTACACTGTGCGATTCGGACTGTGGTCATGTTCGATATTTGAAATGGTTAATCAACTCGTATAGTTCGATTTCTCTATGGAATATTCCAGAACATGTAAAAACTATCGTTCTGTCCTTACTTCACTTAACGAGGGCCTAATGCTGCCTCGTTATGGCCGAAGTGCTCTGTATTGTGCTAGTTTTGAGTTACTGAAACTTCCAATTACACTGTGCGATTCGGACTGTGGTCATGTTCGATATTTGAAATGGTTTATCAACTGGCATTGTTCGATTTCTCTATGGAATATTCCAGAACATATAAAAACTATCGTTCTCTCCATACTTCTCTTAAAGAGGGCCTAATGCTGCCTCGTTATAGCCAAAGTGCTCTGTATTGTGCTAGTTTTGAGTTACTGAAACTTCCAATTACACTGTACGATTTGGACTGTGGTCATGTTCGATATTTGAAATGGTTAATCAACTCGTATAGTTCGATTTCTCTATGGAATTTCTACTACATATAAAACCTACCAACCTCTTCATTACTTCGTACAGATAGGTATATATTTTTTTATGTAATTGATATAGAAAACAAGCTGATGGCCCCAAGTACTTAAATATTAACCGTTGCCTATATAAATGAACAGCACTACGGACACTACCTTATCATCTGACGTTCGTGATACCGTTTAGGTGTTGCCACTCCATAGGACTAAGGTATCGTACCTTTTAGTTCATAATTTTACTACATTTCTCATCCAACAAACGAAACAGCTTACAAACCAAGCTGCTGGATGCTGAAATAGGTTTCCGAACAAACAACTTTTTACAAGTCTACCTCGGTATACGACCGAGGTAGACTTGTGAATATATACTATTATATATGTACACTTTCAAGGTGAAACTCTTTGAAATGATCCTGTATAGATCCGATGAGTGATTTAGTAGAAGTAAGTGGATAAACAGACAGATAAAAACACCGACTCTGATTTACAGATACAATAAAAAACTTTTAGGCAGTTTTATCGATACTTCAATATTTTATTTCTGTATCTCTTTCAGAATGATCTCTATAACAGCTGTTGTAACATGATGACACATGTCGCTACAACATACGTAGAGTTATTCCACAGAATTTCCGGTTCCGAAAACACTAATAAATATTATGCATTGTAGATACAGTTCTTTTACAATAAAAACTGCATAAAACATTCTGTCATCGAGTTACAGCGTATGGAAGATTCTAATATCTAATAACACACAATAAAATGAAAAAGAATAATAAATATAAACACACCGAAGTACCTTAATCGCTTATTATAAATCCTATACATACTGAATCTTTATATATTAGTAATGGTTATAATGAGTAACGATATTTTGTTTACTAACCAGTAAACCACAGCAAACATTCTACGTGTCATATAATTGCTTAATATAAAAAAAAAGTTTTCTCCTCGCCCGTCTATTTTCGTCTCGCGTCGGTTTCCGTTTGAGAGTCGTCCGCTTGGTGATTATTTTCAGTTTGTTTTTCCACACTTCGGGGAAGATCCACTTTGGGTGAAGCCATCGTGTTATTTTATTCAGATCTCATTTTGACATTGAGTCTATTCGCTTCGCTTACAGAGTTTACTTTCGTTTCCGACAAGTATTCTCAATGGGGCATGCCGAATCAGCCGCTTCGAGGAAATATGCTTCAATTATATTATCAGCGAATTCAGTATGAATTTTCGAATTTCGAACGTAACAATTTCACTATACAATATTACATTAATACAAACTCATTCGACGTGTATTACAAGTGAAACACTCGGTGAGGCGAAGATTGAACGCATATCTGCGTTCATTGCACTATTTATGTTTTATTACCGGTAATATTTGTATCGGGTTTTATTTATTAATTTAGATATAACGGACACGGCACTAGTAGACGCCGATCTATATTTACCGCGGCGCACGCTCACAAAACAATCCATAGAATCGGGAAAGCGCGGCGCGCGCGCACGTTTCGTCACCGAAAAGAATCAATAATGAAGGAACGTAGGACGTGATGATGTGAAGTGCAGTGATTGTGATAGTGATGTTTATTGGAAATGTTTACAAACTTGAAATTGCCGCTGATGAAACAGAAAGGGGCAAAGGAGGAGCCCCTATACTGCTATAGGAGTGTCAAAACAAAACCACCTAAAACGCCGACACTGTCAAGAGTGAAACGCCATCAAAGACGTAAGTCCGTTATTCCACTTAATGTTTGTTTGTGCGAAAATAAACAGAGCTTAATGAGGTGCGGTCCGTTTGACTGTTTGTACATGCCTGAACTCCGAAATTAGATGTTTCTGGTAATGGGATGCATCGAGATCGTTCGCCCCGTAGATTTGCGTATGTACTAGTGAATTAAAGCGGCGTAATTTCTCCCGGCGGCGTAGTGTTGAGTGTGGGGATTATTCTTATGTCAATCTCAGACACGTCTGCGTGTTGTGATACATTGCTACACATATATGTATATATATACGATGTATAGGTACTGTAATTAATATTTGAATTCCATCTCCTTTTTAAATCAATTAGAATACAATACAATAAATAGAATAGAATAAAGAATAGAATAGAATAGAAAATCATTTATTCAGATAAACTTACATTGAAGCACTTTTGAATAGTCATCACATTTTTAATCTACAGCTCATTCGGAAAACTGTCTCAGCACAAGAAGAACGAGCAAGAAACTTGTGTGTTGCTCTTTTAAAAAAAATTATTCTTACTTTACAATTTAAGTCTTGATACAATACAAATTTAAATTTAAGAATTTTTGAATAGTCACATTATTTTATTATAGCACGCATTCAGAATGCAGTTTCAAAAAGAATGAATTTATCTATTTTGTATACTTTAGTACTATATTAAAGTTTCGATTGTTTATGATCTTATAATAAATGCATTTGTACTACAAAATAACATGATTAAAAAAAACACTTTTTTGTCTCTACCTTAAGGACTTATAACATCCTCTTATCTTGGAAGTTAATAAACAATCATACTCATAAATACAAATGTTTGTGTCGTGCGAGGAATCGAACCCACGACCATCGGACATAAGGTGGTGTGCCAGACCGCTAGACCACCGGGGTCGTCAGAATTACCTATATTATTGTAAACTTTCATTAAAATCCATTCGGAAGTATTTGCATGTTTAACAAACATCCATTCACACTCACGAACTTCCGCGTTTATAATATTACTAAGATTAGTTTCCAGCACTTGATAGATAAGCTACTAATAATCGTAATAACCCAAGTTAAAATTAAAATTTCAGCGCTGATATTAGAGGGAAATGTTAATTTGCATCAAACACTAATGAGAAAGCAGCCGAATACTAGCAAACGTGTTTGTAGCGTAAAGGACATTACGTAGCTCTCAGTGAAATATGGTTGTGTTATCTAACAGTATTGCGGCAAACGTTTTGCAATTTTTAACTTATCATTATTACTAGCTACTCACCCCGGCTTCGCACGGGTGTACATGTATTATACATATAAACCTTCCTCTTGAATCACTATATCTATTAAGAAAAACCGCTTCAAGATCCGTTGTGTAGTTTTAAACATTTAAGTATATGTAAGGACGTATAGCGACAGCGATTTTGTTTTACACTATGTAACAAGTTACTCGCCCCGACTTCGACCTGGTATACATGTATTATATATATATATATATATATATCTTCCTCTTGAATCACAATATCTATAAAAAAAAACGCTTGAAAATCCGTTGCGTACTTTTAAAGATTTAAGCATACATAGGGACGGACAGACAGCGCCAGCGACTTTGTTTTACACTACGTAGTGATCACACAGGTCTAGGTAGTGAACTTTGAAAATGGGCGAGCACAATAGATGCAAGGTCTCAGTGATCGCAAGATCGCAGTGTTACAAGTCTTGGCACATGACAATAGCCCAAATTTATTTAGGTCTTTACTAATAGAGAATGAATAAAATGTACGTGGACTGTATAACTGATATATTCAATACTTTAAGTTACATTACAAAAATCTGCAGATTCTGCCAAACTGAAGAGGAAACGCCACTACACATCCTATGTGGTTGTAGCCTACTCATTAATACGCGAAATATATCCTGTGGAAAGTATGCACTACATCCTGAGGAGATAAAAACCATATCTCCTTCAATTCTTGATGACTCTAGCCTATACTATACCGAAGAAGTCTAATCTATACCGAACTTTGAAGAAGGGCGAGCACAATAGATACTATGTAGGTCGCAGTGCTACAGGTACAGGTATCTGACATTAGCCCAAACAACCCAATAAAAAAAATTGATTACAATTTAATAGGTACGCGTGCGATGTTATTGTATATCGTAGACGCAAGATAAAGTGGAAGTAGCCTGGCCTGGTGGCTGTCAGTAGTCCTGAACGATAACCCTCAAACAGCACCATAAAAAAATATTAAAATTATCATGAGTACGAATGAAAAGGTGAAAATATTGGATTACAATATCATCTTGTATAAGATTGACATTCATTAATGTACATTTGCGAAACCGGGGCGAGTAACTAGTGTATAATAATATTCTATTAAAATGTAGAAAAACACGCTAGCGTTGGTTTTCAGCCGCAAATTTAGCTGAAAATCAGCGTTATATTCATATCGGCTTCTGTACAAAGCAAAATCATAATAGGATTGGCTTTGTATAACCGTCCTATGAAAATATACTAGTCCTTTTATATTATGCACTCAAAGCGAGGAGCCTATTAAACTTGGCAGGGTATATAATGTATAATTAACATAATACTATACTAGTTATACTATATACTCTGTTTCTAGCAAACTAGCTCGGGAATCTTATCAGTCCGGTAATAGTCGAGTTTATATCTATTGCCAATATTTTTGTATAATTATATAATTTACAATAAATAGATTCATCTTCTTATATGTAAAACTTTTTATATACAAAATTCTCGAGTCACAATATTAATTACTATACTCCTCCGAAACGGTTTGACCGATTTTTAATAAAATTTTATATGAATATTCAATAGGTCTGAGACTCGGCTACTATATATTTTTCAAGGGTTATCCACCGCTAAGAGTTTTTGTAACTTTTTGAACAATTTTGTTTTATAAAATACATACTACCCAAAATTTGCACGCTTCTATCATCAACCCGTATTTTTTAATAAAGATTTTAATTTATATTATGTGGCAAAACAACATTTACAGGATCAGCTACTTATAAGGCTACTTATAAACTACTTGAAACTACTTATAAAGTTATAAAACTGTGTTTTTGAGCTTACATCTTTTGTATAAAGAACCGGTTAGTTATCTTACTGTAGTGTTTCTCAAATTGAAGATATTTTTTATGTCACGCGAGGTCTTCTCCAACAACTACAAAATTTCTATAACTTTTCTGTACGTGATACAGACTACTCTAATATTGGTTCCTTCTTAATATTACTAGTATATTTTTACTATCCGTTCATCGTGATTGTCACATTATTAACATATTAAATTATTTATGTTTTGTTATCTAATAATTCTTCTCCTATTTTTATTTTATACTTTTATGTGTATTTTCCCTATTTACCGAAATCGTCTTCTATTAATATTGAACCAGCACCATGCAGTTCTATATTTTCTAGTATAATTTATTCTTACGTAGTATGTATTACTTTTGTATCATTTCAGTTGTATAGATCATTATCTTAGGTTCTTATGATCTCATACTATGTTACATGTTTATCTCCTTATTCATTAGTGTATTTAACCTGAAAAACAAATGCCCCCATAAATTCACCATCGAAATAATCATCGTCACTGAACTAGTTCTGTTTAGTTATAAATAGGACAATTTGTAAACAAAACCCGTTTTATTGGGACAACACATGTGCTGGTTGGTGTTTGGACAAGCAATTGTAAGGTATTCTGGTTGTAACCATAAACAAGGATTTCCTATTCCGACCAGAGACAAACTTTAGTTGTGCCGTCATTCCGGGAAAAAAATTCAACCTCTCCTTTTGTAATTGTGACAACATCGTACCTTTTGTAATTGTGGCAACATTCCCCAGCCCAATTATGTACCCACTAGCTGGAATATATGTTAGTATTTTTGTCAGTTAAATTGTTTTTATTAGTATTTTTGTGTTTACATATAAATTTCTGTATTTATCGTTTTTGGTAGAAGAAATTTACCGAAATTATACAGTAAAAATTGTACTTTTTTAATTACTTACAACTATAAATTCATTCATAATTTAAGAGCCAGACTCTTGTCACTGGAACTCTTGTAGCAACTATAAATATAGAGCTTATTTTCATTTCTTATTTTTTTATTTGTGCTCTTGTTACTATAAAAATTTCAGTCATTGTTTAAGTTTTATAATGAAGGTATCTTCAAAATTCAATAAATTTACTAGACTGATGGCTCACAAACAATTTTGCTACGAGAAATACAGTTCGATATTTTACAAAAAAATTTAAACATAGCGTATATTTAATAGTGTACATAAAGTAAGTATTTGTATCAGTTATTAGTACCCATAACACACACTTTAGCTAGTTTAACTTGGGCCTAACTGCGGAAAGCCACAATATATTTGCGGAGCAAAAAAACTTGAAGAAAAAAAAAGACGTATTGACTAAATAAACAAAAAAATGCATGGACCTTCAGTCTTGGACAATAAGGGCGTGACTTCTTGACTGAAAAAAACAGTTCATATTGATCATAAGAGTATTAATATGATTTCAATGTAATCATATCCAACTGCTAAAGGAACTTAAAATAACAGTTCATATTGATCACAAGAGTATAAATATGATCTTAATGAAATCTTATCCTAACTGTAGCATAATCAATCACACAGATTGATCAATTGAAAAGTTTAATACATATAATGTAGCTTTACCAACGGCCAATACGGTATACAAGTGACTTCTTTGATTTTAAAACACTTGGTATCTATTACCGTCTGTCAGACGTCGAAGATCACCCATTGAGAGGGACGGATATATTTAGAGTGTTGCGTAAAGTAGGTTGACCTTAATTATGGACTCATTGGACTCTCGCCACGAAGAACGCTGGAGGAAGTTATGACGGTTTTTTTTTATACTGGTGAGTCTGCCGGATGACTGTGTAAATGTCTGTCGTTTCGTTTGGCAATAGCAAATAACAAACGGATTTATAAGATGCTATTCGTTTTTAACTGTT